GTTGTTGTAGTGGTTGTGGTTGTGGTTGTGGTTGTGGTTGTTGTTGTTGTTGTTGTTGTTGTTGTTGTTGTGGTTGTTGTAGTCGGTGCCAGCGTCGTCGTGGTAGTCGTTGTCGTCGGTGCTAGGGTCGTTGTAGTCGTAGGGGCCAAGGTTGTTGTAGTCGTCCGCGCCAGCGTCGTCGTTGTCGTCGTGGCCGCAGGAGTCGTGGTGGTAGTCGTGGATGTTGTAGGAGGCTTGGGTGTGCAGCATGCGGTGCAATTCGTGTACTGCTCCAACCGCTGTCCGGTTGCAACGGGGATCTCACAGCAAAGCCGATCTACACAGCTTGGCACATTGCCGGCCCTTGGTTCGCGTTGCTGCAAACACCACGTAGAATCAGGCGTTCAAGTAGCATATATGTTCTGAACAAGAGAAACACACTTGACAAGTTCATAGATTGCACGAACTGGTCGCAGGACCGCCCTGATATGATCATCATGGTCATGCTTGTCCCGAACATCATCATCATCATCATCATCATCATTACCATCATCATCATCACCATCATCATCATCATCCTCATCATCATCAGCAATCTGCTTCTTCTTCTCATCATCGTCCTCTTCACCCCTCAGAGCCTTCAACATCACAGCATTCCTGTCCTCGTCATTCCTCCGGATCCCCTCCTCGGACCTCCTATTTGGAGGGTCGGGAGACTTAATAAGTGGGTAGTAAGTAGACTTACAAGTACCCTAAAAGGGACCCTAACTGGGGCTATAGTACTTATAAGTCTATAAAATAGCAATTTACTAAGTCGTCCGACCCTCCAAGTAGCCATAGTTGTCGTCATCCCCAACATCAACACCAGGAGTGCATAGCAACTTTAGAGGAGTCGAAGGGTCGGCACAGGAATTCCAATCCCAAAGGCTCCATGTACTCATATCGTATATACATTGGCCTTAATGTAGTTCCTATTCGGGTACTTTGGGGTCTAAGTATATATATATATATACGCTATATGGATACATGGACCCTTTCGGAATGTCAACCGGGTCTCCATCTGCTGTTGCAATTGTTGTCCTCGTCGTCTCTTTCTGTGCAACCGTTCCCTGTCCAGTCAGTGGCTGACTCCTGGCCCGTCGCTGTAAAGAAACCTGGGCTTTCTCAAACAACAGAACCGCGAAAAAACTTGAAGCACACTACAACAGCCTAGAAGCAAAGCGCGCGGTTCGCGCCAGTGCCTCGCCGGCGCACAAAAATCTCGCCTTCACCGGATCCGTTGGTCAGGTTGAACTCGATGCAGGCACCGGCCTCCAAGTCGACTCTCATCGCCTCGCAGGCATCGCCTCCTTGGCCATCGCGACAGAAGAAATAGACATTGGCGTCTGCTGGGAAAAACCAGTTGGCAGAATCGCATGAACTTTGGCCCAAGCATTGGACACAGTGCGTGCCATCGCCCTCGGAGAAACGGAATTCCGTGTTGCTGTTTGAACAGGTGCCGCCGTGGTTGTCGCCCGGAAACTCCGTCGGGGCATCGGCGTCGCAGACCACATCTCCGCTCAAATAGGTCACCCACTGGACGCACGTCTCGTATCCTGACATTCCGAACTAGAAGCCACACAGATTGAATTTGCTGATCCTCATACCTCGAAAGGCAGAAACTAGAGTCCGAAAGCATAGTATGAACTAAACCCTAAACCCTACACCCCTATGTTTTCGAAGTTCAAAGCCTTAACATCTAAGAGTCTCAACTCCCCTAATCTAAGACTCTCAACCCGAGACCGCTCCAGCTTTTATCTGCGACCAAAGCAATAGTTTAGGGTATAGGGTTTAGGGTTCGGGGTTTAGGTTCAAGCTTGGCATAGAGCTTCTTTCGGGTTCAGGCTTTGGGGGCCTATCATCCACGCACATCCAACCCGAAGCCGCAGCGTCCTTTGCACGAAATCGATGAAACGTTTCGGGCTTCGCCCTGATTGCACGTCTGGTAGCCCATGCAACAAACGTCCCCGGAGCACACTGTGTCTGCAGCCTCCAGACAAGAAACATTGGTAGGGTTTATAAGGTCTCGGGTTAGGCAGCGTGATAGCTGTCTCGGAGTCTTGGTATGACAGTGATGCTCTAAGTCAGAAGATGCCTCACAGTAAATGATCTAACCCGGAAATCTTGTTCAGGAGCCCTTTAATTCAAAACACCCCAACACTCTAGATCCAGAGCTCTGAAGTGCTAAATTCCTACGCCCACAACCCGACTTGCAAGACTCATGAAGACTGAAACACTGAAATCTAACACCCCAAACTCTTGACCGTGAGCTTCCCTTCAAGTCACCCCTGTCTGATAGCAAGGGCAATGGGTTTCGGGGTTAAACCTTAACTTCACATGGCCCAAGGTAGGTGCATGCCATGTACACCTCGGTTAACAGTCTAAGGTCGGTGATATGTTCTTTGATTAACGTCAGTTTAGGGTTTAGGATTTCTGGTTTTAGGGTTTAGGGTTTAGGGTCTGTAAAGGAGAAGCCAGGACCTTGAAACATTACGTCTCCACATCCTCTAGTCTTCAGAGTGCATGCAACGATTCATCCCAACCCATGCCTCAGCCCGTTGAACCCTAAACCGTTCAGAAATCCTACACCTATGTAGGGGCTGAGTACCTTAGCCCAAAAAAGGTTAACCTTTTGAGTTATAGTATGATTATCTAAGCCCCAAAAGGTTAAAGGTTACCTACTCAGCCCCTAAGTACAAGCCCTGAAGCCTCCACACCAAACCGTTTAGGGTTTAGGGTTTAGGGTTTAGGGTTTAGGGCTTAGTGTTAAGAACAAACTCCGGGTGGCTTCTCTCCGGTCTTGGCCGGCAAGCTCAAAATCGGCCTGGTCGGCGTTCTCAGGCGCTTAACCCCTAAACCCTATAATTTAAACCCTAAAACTAAACCCTAAACCCTAGACCCCTAAACCCCTTAACCTAAACCGTAAACCGTATAGACTCATGTAGACGCATGATTGATCAATCGCGTCGACTGCAGCTCAGCGACCGTCCCATAGCATGTTTGACCATCATCGTCCACGTTCTCGCAGCAAACGGCTCCCATTCCCTCGATGTCCACGCTATTGTAGCCTGCAGCGAGCAAAAGACAGTTGCAGTGGGGTTTTTGGTCAATCTTGATATCTCATACACGCACTCTGCTTGTTTCGAGGAAGCGGTCATTGCGGAGTGACGATGATGGTGCTAGCAACCGGAAATCCTGCTCTTAACTCGCCTCGCATGTCAGAACCCTTCCATATCCTTCCATGGCACTGCGGATTCTGTATGCTCTTACCTTGTTTTGGGGCCCTTACGTATAGCAAGGATCCCATTACTATTTAGGATGGTCCCCTAAGTATGCTCTGATTGTCTTTGCTCTTCAATGCGGAGGCGGGGCCGGGAGGCGATGGGGGCCTCCTGCCGTGTGGTGGAGGCATGGACAGTCTTCATAAGTGTTAAGATTTGGAGCGCGCTTGAAGCGGCCGCATCTGCTTGTTGGCGTGTGCTCCAGATGTGTTATGTTCCGTGCCGAAGATGACGATGAAGATGACTGGCAATCGTCGTAAAAAGAATAACAGTCACAGTAACAACGGCAAACAGCACAATAACAATTAAAAACAATACAAATAACAGTAATAAGCACTATAAGAATACAACTAATAAGAAAAGAGAGTGCAACTGTTGTCCTTCCTGTAAGAAAAATGGTAGTAGTAACAAGAGATAGTAGTAGTAATGGTAATAGTATTGGTAATGCAACAGTCAGAGTCATAGTAATAGTAATAGTAATAACTATAGTAACATCAAGAATGACAGTACACAGGTAAACACAACACAAAACAAACGCACCAACAACAATAAGAATAATGCTAACATCAACAATAATAACAACAATAATAAAAATAACAAAAGTAATAATAGTTATAATAATAATAATAATAATAATATCAATAATCATAACAACAATCCTAATCGAAACAACAGTACAAATACTAATAATAATCATCATCATCATCGATACAATAATAACAAGAATAATCACACCCACCAGATTAACAAATAATGACAACAATGGAAAAGGTAATATCAATAGTAATACGAATAACACCATTTATGAACAAAAAGCACTAATAACACCACTGAGACTAACATGCTTTTGTCACTTAGTATGACTACTACTGATAATCATCGCAAAACGACTATTCATGATATGATGCTCATGATGTTGATGTCGATGTCGCTGATGGAGATATTAACGATGGTAGCGACGACGATGACCATGATGATGACAGTGATGGTGATGATGATTTTCATAAAAGAGGGTGATGATGGCGATGATGATGATGATGATGCGGTGAAGGACGACTGCTCTTCCCTGCAGCCCCATGGCTGGTCCCTAGATCCTCTCCGATGGGGGACTTCGACCTAGGGTCCGATATGTAGGCTTTTGGAGCAGCCGCTGTCTCACATCGGGCCGTCTGTGTCATCCAGTGTTGTGGCCACATCGGCAACTCAAGGTCATCCGATTCTGATGTGCTAGTACTCGAGTTTTTGCCAGCTAGATGCTCATAGTAGTTCTACAGAGTTTAGAGGTTGTGATGAAGTGATATCGGCTTTTAACAAAGCTTCAAATGTTGGAGTGTGAGTCTTGAAGAAAATATGAGCTGCTGGTCTATATAATGAAAGAATTAACGAGTTCAAATCTCTGCATTTTGCAAGCGGGGTGTGGGTTCGGGGTTTTGGGCTTCGGGAAGTAGGGCAGCATAAAGCTCCGGCTGCAGAACTGAAGGTTTGGGGTATGAATGTCCTAGGCTGATACGCCATAGTTAAAGGGAAACTACAGGTGGGGAGTTTAGGGTATATAGGCCTTCTATAAGGCTTCTATATGGTATATGGACCTTCTATAAGGCTCCTATAACGGTAACTACCCACCTGAAAATGTCCTAGACATAGACATAGAGCATACAGGCTGTCAGCAGACTATCATTTGGCCACTGGGGTTTGATCACTAGCTGCTGCGAGCTGAACTGACTATACCGTGGATAGCAAACGTGAAAGACTTGTCCCAGATGACTCCCTGGTTCTGAACAGGGAATGAGGTGAAGGATCCCTATGCTAGTCCCTTCAGGTCCCTTGCCCTAAACCCTAAACCCTAAACCGTGTAGTAGTCCCTATAGCCATTTCCCTTATCCCCTACTAAGAACCAGCGAGATGATCCAAAGCCAAGCAGCAGGCTTGATAGTTGCGGCATGTCATGACATCGCCAGGGTCACGGAAAGTCCATAGCTCTGCCGTTCCTGTGCAGACCTCAAAACCCACGGTAGGGGTTTAGGGGTTTAGGGTTTAGGGCCTGCGTTCTGGAGGTCGGCAGCACTCGAAACCGCCCACTCAGATTGTCACTAATGACCACTCCGCGGCCGAACACCCACATCGGCAAGAGCCTTCCTTCACGGCGAAGAGCTGGATCCCTCGACGACTCAGCCAAGAACACTACCCAGAGAACCCAATACCCGTTAATTAAGGAATATACCTTAAACTATAATATTAAAGGCCCCTATAACTTAAGGTATATTCCTTAATTAAGGGGTATTGGGTTCTCTGGGAACACTAACGAAAATCGCAGCTTCATGCATCCAAGGTTCTCCTGCCTGTGTGGGCGCAGGAACGACGTCATTTCCGGTCTAGGTGCAGCAGCATTGGGGGGTTTCCGAAAATAGGGGACCCTAATATAGTACCCTAATTAATAGGAGCCCTATTATAAGAACCCCAAAATAAGGTACCCTAATTTTCTGAAACTCCCAATTTGGAACCCTAAGGGTCCATGTACTCATATAGTATATACACTGGCCTTAATGTAGTTCCTATTTGGG